TATATATATATATATATATATATATATATATATATATATATATATATATATATATATATATATATATATATATATATATGATCAAAACTGACAGTAAATACATTTATAATATTACAAAAGGTTTATATTTTAAATTGACATTATTCAAAACTTTCTATTCATTAAAGAATTCTGAAGATTCTGAAATGTTTTCAACATTGATGATAATAATAATATTAATACTAATAATAATGTTTCTTAAGCATACTCATAATCATAAAACAATCTATTGAGTTTTGAAAATTATTTTGTTTTTTAAATATGCATGTTTTATTTATAAGGTTTTGAATGGGCTTGCTCCCCCTCCGTTAAATGAATTTATAAAACTGAGGACAGATTGTAGTATTGGTACTAGGTCTATTATTAGAGGGGACAGTGAGGTGCCATATAGGCGAACATCTTTTGGACAGAAAGTATTATCTGTAATGGGGAGTAAATATTGGAATAGCTTACCGCAGTCAATAAGACAATGTTCTATTTATCATTCCTTTAAAGATCATTTATCATCAACCTTTAAAGATCATCACAACGAATCAGTCGTGTAAACATTTTACTTAGAAAGGTTAAAATGTGTTAGGGTATTAGTCTTTTATGTACTGTTGTATGTGTATTTGAGTCTGTGTCCTTGTGTGTACCTGCCTAGGGACTGCGGATGTAAATTAGCAATGTTGCTATAATCCGGCTTGTTAACATTCTGTATTACTACAAATGTTCATTAACATGCATTGTCCCTATCAAATAAATGAACAATAAACAATAAACAATTAAAGGGTTAGTTCACCTAAAAATGAAAATTAGCCCATAAATTACTTACCCTCAAGTCATCCTAGGTGTATATGACTTTCTTCTTTCAGACGAATCCAGTCGGAGTTATATTAAAAATTGTCTTTGATCTTTTAAGCTGTTTAATGCCACTCAGCGGGTGTTGCATGCTTCAGTCCAAAACAAGTTAAATAAATAGTGCCCATCTATAAAAAAAGTGTCTCACACGGCTTCGGGGGATGAACAAAGGCCTTCTGTAGCGAATCGAATTCAAAACGTAATAATCACTTTAATGTAGCTTGCGCTCACTGTTGTACACTGGAAGCAGTTCCGGGCGGATGACGTATGAGGTCAGCGTTGCACATGCGCCAGTGAGTCTCGTGAAAACCAATGTCTGTTAACAGGAGCAAAGGAAGCAAAGTTTCCTTACTTTAGAAAAGGAAAACCAGTCTCCTCTTGGCTTATATCGAAATCCTCTGACATTCTTCTTTACAAATCCTCGTTTTGTACTTCTAATTAGTGACCGTTGTTTTGATCTCTCCGCTGCGTTTCCACGTGCGTCACTTCTGAGCGGCGCATGCGCAAAGCCGACCTCCATACGTCATCCGCCCGGAACTGCTTCCCTTTACAACAGTGAGCGCAAGCTACATTAAAGTGATTATTGCGTTTTGAATATGGATATTTTTCTTACAAAAACGCATCGATTCGCTACAGAAGGATTTTGTTCACCCCCCGGAGCCGTGTGAGACACTTTTCTTTTATGGATGGGCGCTATTTATTTAACTTGTTTTGGACTGAAGCAATGCAACAGCAGCTGATCAAAAGATCAAAGACAATTTTTTATATAACTCCGACTGGATTCGTCTGAAAGAAGAAAGTCATATTCACCTAGGATGACTTGAGGGTAAGTAATTTATGGGCTAATCTTCATTTTTGGGTGAACTAACCCTTTAAGCCACAAATCAGCATTTTAGAAGGATCATGTGACACAAGACTGGACTGATAAAACTGAAAGTTCAGCTTTGCATCACAATAATATATTACATTTAAAAATATATTAAAATAGAAAACTTG